TTCCAAGAATGCACATCATCATGTGCTTTGACATTTCACCCTAGGGAACATGGGAACTTTCCACCTCACTTGCAGCTGAAATATCCTGTTAAATGTTGTGGTCCCCCATTAGCATGTGAACTTGACTGCAGGAACTGTCTCCATTTTTCTGTTTGTATCTTGACAGAAGAGTTTGCACATAGTAAGCATTTAATGAGTGTTTTTTTTTTTATTAATTAATTAATTCATCCCTATGGTCCTTTCCAGTTCTCAATCTCATGATCCTGTGAAACTGGTTTAACCCACCATAACATTATTTGGCACATAATACTTGTTCAAATAGAATAGAATACTTGTTTAAATGAATTGAATATACAGGATATCCCAAAAGTCTTAGTGTAGTTTGAAGTTAATGAGAGCTTAAAACTTCACTTGGCCTTTTGGGATACCCTATAATGGCAAAGTAGTGGTAGCTAAAGAAAAACAAAAATGAAGTATTACTACTATTTTAATTCTTTTTTAAGCATCTTTATCTTTTCCCGAATATTCTAAAGGGTGAATGTGGTTGAGTGTGAGAGAGGCCTTTTCTTTTTCTTTCTTTCTTTTTTTTTTGTACAAAGTAATATGTCATTTTCAATTAAAATAGGAAAGCCCTAGGGAAACAGGGTGTGATAGTAGTTAGAAAGCCAGTCTTGGATTCATGAAGCCTGGGGTCCAAATCCTGACTTTCATCCACATGGACTGGGTGACCTCCCACTGCCCCAGAAGCAGCTGCCAATTGGCAGTGATAGAGCAGAGGTTGCAATGGGAGACCCCTGTTCCCCAAGAAATTATGCAGGTGCAGACCCAAGATTCAAATGTGTGATGATGGAAGTAGGAGAAACAGTAAGAGAGGCAGGAGCATGGAGCCTCCAGGCTGGAAGGGTCCTCAGAGGCCAGCCATTCAGAAGAGAGCTTGAGTTAAGAACGTACTCTGACATCCCCAGCACAAGGTCAGCCAGCCTCTGCTTGAAGATCACAGAAGGGGTTAGCAATGCATTGGAGTAGCACCTAGTGTGAGACTTCTGTTCCTTACTGAAGGACTCTGTGCTAATCACCAGATGAGAAAAGACTCTTGTAGACAAACATATGTAACTCAATGAGTTGGTACCTTTATTCATATTGCTAATCAAGGGCCCCACATTTGTTAATTTAAGGTTGTGCATGAATTTTCCCCTCAAACAGAATATATAACACTTTAAAAAAATCTATATATGCTTGAGAAGCAGCACAGTGTGATCTAAATATATTCTAGAGTCAGGCAGAGCTGGATTCAAATCCTGCCTCTGATCTTTACTGTGTGTTCATGGGCAAGCGTCTCAACCTCCTTCACCCTCAATTTTCACATTTGTAAAACCAGGATAAAAACACTTGTGGTACTTATCCATAACAACAGGTTTTTTTTAAGGTCCCAAAAGATAATATATTTAAAATCTTAACAAATCTCTCCCCCTCCTCTCATATGCATACACACATGAATGTATATTATAAGTGGCGGTTTTAATTATAATATAATACCATATATTAGGAGAAACAGCTTTGTTTATTGGATAGAGAGCTAGCCTTGGAGTCAGTAAGATCCGAATTCCAGTAGGTTCTCTGACAAATACTGCCTCTCCGACCCTCAATCTCTCAGTGCCTCAAGCACCCATCTAAGACTCTAAACTGGGAAAGAAATTAGGGATCTGCATTGGTTTGGGGAAGTGCCTTACACCAAGGAAATCACAGACTCCCATTCCCCCCCAAAAAGGTGTGTTATAATTATCTGTTAGTGTCTTCTGCTCTTTGAAGGTTGATACCTTTTCTTCCCTGTCACCTGTGACTTGCCTGCCACGTGTTGGTGTCCATCCCTGTCACCTTAACTTTGATAATTAACTTACGTGGAAAGGCATTTTAAAAGAAAACGAAGAACAAAATATCAACTAAAATCAAATGGTTTCCGTTTTGTATTTTTAGAAGAAAATAAAATAAAAAAATAAAAGCATGGTATTAGTTGGCATTTTTATTAAGAAAACAGAATAAGTCACAAGCAGCTCTGAAATTCTGGACAACTTGGGCTCAGGGCGATTCACTTTTCCTGAATGGGTGTGTGTCTCTTTAAGGAGGTGCTTCTATTTTTGACACAGCATGTGTGCAGTCACATGTGCTAGAAAATGTAGGGGTTGCCATGGTAAATTCACGTCTTTTCACGAATAAGCAACTAAAAAGGTGCATGAACAACTCTCACCCCCAGAATGTGCCAGCGATGGCTGTCCTTTTCTTGGCAAATACCAACATATGCTTCAGAGCACAAAGGATCCTATTGAAATAATTATGAAACTTCTATTCACTAAGATTGTTCATAAAATGGTGAAATAAAAATGGGAACCATCGCCCAGGCATTCAAACTTCTTATGCAAAAAAAAAAAAAATCCCCAATTAGGGAGAGTAGCCCCTCGTCCAAGCTCATTTTGGAGAACGTCCAAATTCCGCCTCAGCCCTGTCTGGTAGTATACTAGAGGGCTGTTTCGTTTGTCCAAACGGAGGAATTCCTAAAGATCAGCCCCCAGTCACCTTCATACCCTGGCGCATTAGAAACAAAAGCACAACCCAGTTCTCAAGTTTGCAGCTTCTCCTCGCATGTCTAGTACCCCAGAACCTAGCAGCATCAGCATCTGCCACCTTTGCCCAGCAGGGCAGGTCGCTCCTCGTAACCTGGCAGAGTTCCGAAGCCTTATTTTGTGTGGCTCTGGGAATGGACGTGCCTCTTAGTCTCAGGAAGCTGGTGATGCCTGTTTCTAACAGAAGGAGGTAGGAGGTTCACGGCCATGGGAGATGCCCACGTGTGTCGGGGGAGCGTGGAACTTCTCGACTGCCTTTCCAGAAGGGCAAGCCTCATTCAAAAGGTGGCTGAATGGACCCCTCCCCCACCTCAAAATAACCATCTCTTTGTGCACCTACATCTCTCCATCATCACATGCAGTAAACTTTTCTTCTTTCTCTGGAGGCGGAATAAAGCAGCCTGGACGCATGACATTTCACAGGCTGAGGCAGGAACAAAGAAAATCAAGTTCCCAGCAGTGGATCTTGCCCACCGGAGGGATCACGTGGTCTGCTTCCACTCCTCTCGCCCACGCTCTGCTATCTCTATTGTGCCTAGACACTTTCCCCTGGTTCCAACGCACCCGTCCATAAAACCACTTTCCCACCCAGAGGACCAGATTGCTTGGGGCACGCTGTACAGGGGGCTGGGGGTCCAGAAGGGTGCAGAGTGACCCAGTTAGCACCTCAGGTGATTTCGACGAACTGAAGGTACCTTGCGAAAGTAAGCAGAAGGCACAAGCAGATGTCTTAGCAACCCTCCCTTTCTCCTTCTTGGAAGGATGGAACGTAGGAGAGCTTCCATCATCCCTTTTCTAAAACGGAGGGTGGCTGGGGTTTCTTTCCGCGAGTTAGCCAAGTGCATCTCCACCCTGGGCTAGCCCCCACCTCAGCTGCAGCCCCCCCCCCCCCCAGCTTTGCATGAGGAGGAGACGGAGCAAAAGGGGAGGGAGGGTGGAGGCTGGGCTTTTTCTCAGTGTCCTCCCCCTTTGCAGTTGAGCACTGTAATGTGGAAAGCAATCCCCTAACTAATAAAAACAGACACATATTAAAGCTATTTAAAAAGATAATAACGCACGCTCTAGAGATTGCTGACTCTGTGCTAACATAGAAAGACCAGAGACAGATATATAGTAATGAAAGCAATGTGATGGCAGTCAGGGTGCAGTTATTAATACTACTGTCATTCCTTTCCTCACGCTTTCAGTGGAGGCTATAACACACAGCCGGCTTGCTGAGGAGTCCAGCCGGGAGGCCAAACGCAGAGACGTTCACAAGGGACAAAAGCGCACAAATCCCAACAGTCCAGGATCATCCACTCTGAGCAGCGTCGGCACTGAGGCACAATGGGCACCACTCGAGTTTGGGAAGGTCCCTGGGGTGGGAAGGGGGAAATCCTTCTGCCTCTAAACGCCTGCACCCGACCACCCCAGACCTCCCCTTTCTCGCCCCTCCGCACCCCGGGACCCGAAACCCCTTCCCTTTCAGCACCCAGGCCAAACAAAGAGCTTCGAAACATTTCCCTTACAACCCAAGCACCAGATCGGTAACCGCACCTCAGGGGACAGCAGAAGAGTGAGCAGCTAGGGTTAATGTTCCCTTGCTACAAGAGTGTGTGTGTGTGTGTGTGTGTGCGCGCGCGTATCTATGTGTGTGCGTGTGCGTGTGTGTGTGTATCTATGTGTGTGTGTGTGTGTATCTATGTGTGTGTGTATCTATGTGTGTGCGTGTGCGTGTGTGCGCGCGGCGTGCATGTGTGTGTGTGCGTGTGCGTGTGTGCGCGCGGCGTGCATGTGTGTGTGTGCATGTGTGTGCACGCGCGTGCGTGCGTGTGTGTGTGTGTGTGCACGCGCGAGTGAGCGAGCGAGTGTGTGCCCGCAGCTATCACAACAGCCACTCCAGTCTTTTGGGCATCTCCCTGAAACAGCTGCGGGCGCGATCTCTAAGCTGACGTTAAGAGCCCCTGTGTTGGACCTCCTCTCCTCACTGCTCACTGCTCGAGCAGAGCAGTGTCTCCCCGTTACCTCCTCCCCACACCCTTTTCGCAGTATGTAACCCTTTACTACACTTACTGTGGCCGTGAAGTCCACCCACTTACCTCTACCACCGCCCGCCAAGACCTTTTAAACGCCTCCCGCCATCTCCTACCGATCGAGGGGCCCCAGAGAGAAAAAAGCCACTGCACCAGCACCAGAGCAAGCAGCTGGCAGCGGGTGATCGCGGGAAGCCCGGCGATGAACCTGCCTGCCCTCTCCTCCCCTGGATTCGCCGCCCAGGGGGGAGCCCGGTGCTCTCACGCCTTCTCGCTGCGCCTGGAAGCGGGCACCGAGCAGAGGCTGGCCACTGCAGCAGCCCCTCTCCAAGGAAGGGAAGGGGCCAGGGAAGAGAAGTAGGGTACTTACATTGCAGGCTCCTGGAGGAACTGTCCATGAGTCTCCCAAGGGCTCCAGACGTTCAGCTGCAAATGGTTATTCCTTAAAGTGTGTGTTCCCGGGTCCGCAGTAGAGTGGGAGTGGAGAATCTTGTTTTTTTTTTTTTTTTTTTTTTTTCCCTCTCCTTTTCTTAGAGAGGAAAGGAGGAGAAGGAAAGGGGATTCCAGGAAGGTCCAAGGCTAGACCATGATGCCGATGCCCTTCAGGTGGACTGCTGGATGGGTTCCCATGGGAAACAGTGGAGAGGGGAAGCCCGGGCAGCGACTAGCAGCAGGCTGGGGGTGGGAGCAGAACGGTAACTCTCCTAGTCTGTGCCAAGCCTGGCCGGCCACCCAATCACCAGCAGCGGCAACAGCAGTGGTAGCGGCACCTCCTTCCCCACCCCCCCAGGAGGCTCCACAGACAATAAATCCTGGTGGGAAAAGGAAAGGCGAGGAAGCAAGCCGAACGGTGCCCCCCGACTCCTAGCCTCGGTGTGCCTGTGCCAGGCGGGGCGGGGCTGGGGGGGAGATCCCCGAGGAGCGCCGGGTGTGCAGGGAGCCCCGAAGCGAGCAGGGGGCTAAAAGAGCCCGCGGCAGTAGCGGTGGCTGAGCGAAGCCAGAAGCAGCCGCCGGGGGGATCCGGGCAGTCGGCCCGGAGGGCAGGGGCCTCGCCCGCCTTGCCCACCTCGCCTCGCCTTGGTTAGGCGGCTCGGCTCACAGGTGCCGTGGGTGGGTAGGCGGCGAGGCGAGGCATGTGGCTGGCCGCCTCGCTCGCTCGCTCGCTGGCTTACTCGACCCCCTCCCCCCTCGTCCTTTTGGCTTTCTTCCTCCTCCTCCTCCTCCTCCTCCTCCTCTTGCCTGTGCTCCCCACCCCCTGGTAGGACGGACTACACCGGCTGCAGCTACGGCTTCAGAGTGTGAAAAATGTCAAGGAGATTTTCTCCCCCCTCCCCAACCAGCGAGGGGCGGAGACTGAGTCCTGACGCGCCCGGCGCCCCTCCTCTCTGAGCTAGCCCCCGCCCCCTCCCCGGCTAAAAACCCCGCGGGGAAAGCGGAGGATGCCCAGGCTCGAGCCCATCCGCTGCTGCCGAGGCCCGGGGCTTCCTGACGAGGAGGGTGCCCCGCTGCGTGGCCCGCTGGGGCTCGCTGGCCCGGGCGCTGGCTGCTGCTCCGCGGGGGCCGGCCCGAGCCTCCGTCCGGGCGGGAGTCCCCGCCCGCCGCCTAGCCCGGGATCGGCGCGCCGGGCGCCTTCCCCTGGAGCAGCCCGGCCCGGTGCAAAGCGCCGGCCGCCTGCCTCCGCGTGCGTGCCAGGAGAGCCGCCCCCACAGACTCCGGGACTGCCAGCGCCGCGCTGAGCGCAGCTCGGGGCCGGGAGCCCCGGAGGAGGCTGGGGCTGCTATCGCTGTCGTGGGGCTGCCTCTGCTGCTCGCGCCTTGGCCGCAGCTCTTTCAGCCGGGGCAGCGCGTCTCCTCTCCCTCGCTTCTGCCTCCCCGGGACCCCGCCCTCCCAGGCTCTCAAGAAGACGGGGGGGGGGGGTCCTCTTGTCCAGATGCAGTCGGTGGAACGGCCACCGTTTAAGACTTAGAGCCCCATCTTCCAAGCCCACCCAGGGAGTGGCTACCTCCTAGCGACGACAGACTTGCAGCGCTAGGATTTAGCCATCTATCTCCTCTCCCCCTTACCATAGAAGCACACAAAGGCACCTCTCTAGTCCTGTGGGCCACTGAGTTGGTTGTTAAACTCTTGGAAGCGTCTGCGGGCCGAGTAGCACTGGAAACACCCCCCCCCCCCCAACAACAACGATCAAAACTTGGGGAGGAAGGAGTGATGGAAAATGGCAATGTGAAATGAATCTTATTCTGCACTCATCCTTTGACCCCCGCCCCCAGGGATTTCTTCTTTCTCCTTATCTTCTCGTGACTAGTGTGAGATAGAAATGTTTACATACGTACAATCAAACAGACGTACATACACACATACCTAGGAATTTTCTTTTGGGAATGTCGTTGAGCGGTCCGTGGGGGCAGTGGTTAAGCTTTGACTTTTCTCTTCATGCTAAGCAAGCTAAACGCCGACGTTTCATCTTTCCAACTACCTCCAAGTGGAGTCGTGTATGAGCCGATGCAGGCGTTCAGTGCATGCTCCCCAGTGCGATGCACACAGCATCCCAACGCAAGGCACGTTCTCCCAATTGTGGGTCTGGGAGGATGAGCCCTTCAAGGTCAAACATCATCTTCTGTCTCTGGGTAGGAACTGCCTGGAAAGGGATTCGGGCCATGGGCAACTAATGGGATGGGTGAGCAGCCAGGGAAGGTTGATTTTGCAGGAAACAGCTGGCTGATGACGGAGGAACTGCTGCTTCATTCCACCGAGGAAGGAAAGAAGAGCGAGAAGCTGGACGGGGAGAGGTTGGGCAGCCTCATCATCTGAAGAGATAGCAGAGTAGACTTTTGAAGTGCTGGGAAATGCGCGGATTGTGGAGTAACTCAACTGTCAGAAGGAGGAAATACTCGATTTCTGGGGACAGATTGGAGGACTGACCCCGGCCGGGCTTCCTTCTCTTTCCCTAGGAGAATCATGTCACGTTTTCCTACACCTCATGGCCCCCATGGATAACCCAGGGTGGGATGTGCAAATGAGAACTGGGAAAATAAAAGAAGCAAGTTAGAAACTAGTTTGAAAAATTTGCTCAGTGTGCTAGTCCTTGGCTCAGCCTTTAAAGCCCTTACCCGACTGCCCTTCAAACAGCATCCCCACCCCCACCCCCCAATCCGCCCCTGCTTGGTCCTATGATGGGGCATTCTATCTCTTGCCTGAATGCCTGCTTGCTGCAGTCCAGCATGTCTGGAATGAACGCCTTTCATCCCCCCAACCCCCTCTGCCACCTCAGGGATTAGCTTGGTGCTTGGAGCGTATAGTGTGGGCTTAACTACTGCTTACTAAATTGAATTGAATTGTTTTCTGTGGGCCACTCCTCTCTATCCCCTCGGAAATCCTGGATCCCTCCAAAATTTATTTCAGGTGCCGCCTTCTGAAGGAGGCCTTTCCTTATTCACCCTGTTCTTAGTCCACCTCCCTCACTCTAAGAATTACTTTGTATCTGTTTTGTATACATATCGTATTTCCCACAGTAGACTGTAAACTCCTTGAGGGCAGACACGGTTTCATTTTTGTTTCTGTGTCCAAAGCCTATAGCAGAATATCTAGCCGTAACACAATGCCACAGATTCTCCTATACAACTTTCACACCGTACTTGGCACAAAGTGCACACCTTTACCAAATCTGATAGGATTGCCTCCTATCACCAACGTTTTTTCTGTATTGTTTCCTAAAAATGAACACATTTCCACACTGAATGCCTAGAACATCCTGGGAAATTAGGATTTACCTACAATGTGAGCGGTGGAGTGGGGAATTTGGAATGCCTTCTGGAGCCTTTCCCCCTTTGTCTTTTCCTGATCTCTAAGGAAGTTGTGAGAATAATATCATGGCCTTCTTTCCTCCTCTAATTCTGGCTCCTGGACCTTAGACATGTGAGTCAGCAAAGAACTAAATGGATAGAGCTTTGGAAAGCATGCATGCCTACTGTGAGCTCTTAGGTGTTTTGACAGATGTGATTTCTATATAAAACAATGCAAAAGAAGAAAAAAAAATATTCTTCTTCAAGATAGGCCCTGAGCATACTGTCCCGATTTTGCACAAGATTTATGAATCTCTTATAGAATTTGACCACCTTTGCTTTTTGAACAATATCTCATAACAATTTCAATGGTCTCATGGAATTGAACTATTGAAATGCAAATGGAAATGCTGTCTTTAAACTAACTCTGGACTGCCCTGGCACCAATTTTTGAGAAGTACATATGATTGTCTTAAAATTGGGCAGAGATGAATGTGAAAATACCCATAGGCTCTTGCAAAGCCCAAGAGCTGAGAAAAAAAAAATCCATAACTTAAGAACTGGGATCAAGGAAGTTTTGACAACCACTCATCAGATTAAGTCTGGGACAGCTTGATACAGTATTGAAGGACAGCCTAAGTATATTCAAAAAGTCAAGAATTCATACAACATACTAATAAATACCTCAGTTTCTTTAAAACCTCCAAGATCTGCTTCCAATATAGGCAAAACTTACTGTGGTATAATGATTTAAGGAGTATTGGAAATGGTACTGCTTTCCCAAAATACATCCCTGCCCTACCTGACAGGATGCTTGAAAATCCACCAGTAGGGATTCATTCATGCTGTCAGGGATTCTTTTTCAATGTTCCCAGTTAAAGTGGACATTCTGCTCTACCAATGACTAGTTGTATGACCTTGGGTGAATTAGTTAACATAGTTGAGTCTTAGTGTCCTTGCTGGTGAAATAAGAGTGAAATAAATGTCCCTTGGGTTCTATTCACCTTAAAATCTATGATGCTATGATTCTGGGAAGGAGAACATGTACTCAACCCTGAAGAAAAGAGAGACAATACCAATAATAATAATAATAATAATATATATATATACACACACACATATATATATGTACATATACATATACACATATACCTACATATATAGATATACATACATATATACACATATATACATATACATATACACATACACATACACACAAATTAACTAGCTGTGTGACCTTAGGTAAGCCAAGATCTCTCCCACAGGACTGTAATCACTTACAGCCTTGTGAGAGAGATAATGGCTTACCCAAAGTCACAAAACTAGTAAGTTGCAGAACCAGAATTTGAAATCAGGCCCCCTGAAATTCATTCATTCTGTACCTACTATATGCATACTACTGTGGGTGCTAGGCAAAGGGAGAGAGAGAGAGAGAGAGAGAGAGAGAGAGAGAGAGAGAGAGAGAGAGAGAGAGAGATAAATAGATATGGATGGGTAGATAGATGGATGGATAGATAATAGGATAGATATATATATAGATACATAGGGGTGGATGGATGGATGGATGGATAGATAGGTGATAGGATAGATAGATATACATAGACATATATGGATGGATTGATGGATGGATAGATAAGTAGAAAAGGGCCTGCCCAAGGGAGTTTACAATCTAAAAAGATAATAAAACACAAACACA